GGGCTTGGCAAACACAGAATGGAGTGCATGTATCCATCATCATAGGATAACATATAATAGCATCACTGCCCTAAAAACCTTCTGCATTCTGCCAACTCATGCCCCCTCTCCTAAACCCCTGAAAATCACTACTAGTGATAGTCTACTGTCTCCAAAAATTGGCCTTTTCCAAAATGTCATTCAGTTGGAATTCTACAGTATGTAACTTTTCCAGACTGGCTTCTTTTCCTTAGTCATATGCATTTGTGTCTCCTCCATGTCTTTTCATGGCTTGATAGATTATTTCTTTGTAGTGCTGAATAATATTCCATTGTCTGTTTGTGTTCAGTTATTAATTCATCTTCTGAAGGACATGGAGGTGCTTCCACATTATGAATAAACCTGCCACCATAATTCATGGGTAGGTGTTTCTGTGGACAGAAGTTGTCCCTTTCCTTTGGATGAATATCAAAAGAGCATGATTGCTGGATTGCAAAAGGAGGGTATGATGTTTAGCTTCAAAAGAAATTGTGAAGATGCTGTCATAAATGGTTGTACATTTTGCATTCCCACTGACAGCAAAAGAAAGTTCCTCTTGCTCCATATCCTTTCCAGCATTTGATGTCATCCATGGTTTGATGTTGGCATCTTCAATAGAAGATAGTAGCTCATTGTTTTAATTTGCAATTCCCCAATGACTTGTGATGTTGAATATCTTTCCATATGCTTACTTGCCATCTGTATTTTTAGTGAGGCATCAGCTAGCCCCTTTTACACCTCTACTTTTACTGGTCCAGCTTCCTTATCCATCAAGTCACCGACAAGAATAAGGAAAGGTCCTTTTCCCATTGTTGGAGGTAAAGGCTTAGCATAAAGTCTGACTGGATAAACTGGTGTTGATTGAGTCACTGTTATTTGGGTGCCTATTGTACTTGCTGAATGCTATAAAGTACGCATAAGCTCTATCTTCCTGGAAAAGCAGTTTAGGGAGCAAGGACTTATATTAACTCAGAACCACACAGACACAATGACTTAGTTACATATTATTATAAATACTAATAATACTGAGGGTTATTATCAATATTAGGATAGGAGGTTCCAAGGCAGAAGTCTCCAATGTTTTGGAACCAAAGACTCCTTTTGGAAAACACAATTTTCCCCAGACACTGGAGGTTATGTTTCAGGATTACTTAAAGGAATGTGCAACCTTGACTTCTTACACACCCAGCCCACAATAGGGTCCACATTCCTACAAGAATCTAACGTCACTGCTGATCTGACAGGAGACAGAGCTCAGACACTACCAGAAGTGATGGGAAGTGGCTATAAATACAGGTGGGGCTTAGCTCCCTTTCCTGCTGCTCCTCTTCTAGTGTGTAGCTCAGTTCCTAACAGAAGCCAGGGATTCCTGCTCTAAGATATGAATTGGCAAATTATGGTTCCTAGACTTAGTATGGTCCACTATTTGTTTGTTTGTTGGCTTGTTTTCTCAACAAAATATGTTACTTGAATACATTTTATGTTCCTTTATTTGCATATTATCTATGAATGATTTCTGCTGCAGTTGTAGAGTTGGGTGGTTAGAGACCACATGGGCAGCAAGGCTGAAACTATTTACTCTCTGACCTTTTATAGAAACAGTTTTCTGCTCCTACACTAAGCACATCTAATAGAAGAGATCTAATCTCAGGATCAAAGAGGGCTTTCTGAGGAAGTGGCATTTACAGTAAGAAAGAGGACTGAAAATAGGCTGGCCAGGCAGGTCTGTATAGGTGGGCTGTCAAGGTCCAGTTGAGGAATCTGTGTGGTCCAAGGAGAAAAGGATGGCATGAATGAAGGTCCTGGATCAGCAGAGTCTTGGCACTTCAGAAACACAGTGAAAGCTAGCGTACCTGAGGCACAGTGAGGTTTGACTGAGTGACAAGCGACAAGTCAGACTTAGCGAGAGGATGAACAGTACCGGCCCTTAGGGGTCATGCTAAAGGACTAAAGTGGAGTCCACTGCGCACATTAAGCAGGGGTTAAGTTGCAATCCAACTGGTGTCTTGAAAATATCATCTCAGCTGCAAGCAACATGGGGGAGATATGAGAAAGGAAGATGAAAAGAGAATGGAGAGAACAATTAGGAAGCCATGGCTGCTGGTGCAGGACAGAAACAATGGGGCTTAGCCTAAGATCACGAGAGGGAAGAGGGACGGATGTACTAAGCTATAATTAGAGTTGATGTTTCAGTACTGAGGGAGACAAGGGTGTGTGTGGCGTGGTAAAAGTGAGTCATTTAGTGAGCTGGAGTCACTGGAACACGAACAGAGTCAAGAGCATCAGAGAGATGTGCAGAAGGGTGGGTGGCACCATCCTTGCTCTAAATTCCCTCCCTCCTAGTGTGATGAGATCTCACAAGACTCCAGCTCAGCCCCAAAGCAGACAATATAAGACAGAGTATCCTAAAGACGACTTATTCTTGAGGCTTTTGCAGAGACCCTGGGATGTGCTTCCCAGAATCACTCAGGCCATGAAGTCACTTGTGGAGAGGTCTTCCTGCTGCACCAGTGTTCTCTCTGGCCCATGGGGTTCAGTGTTTCTGCATCCCATTCACTTTGCACCACACCCATCCTGCAGCATCGATCACACAGATGAGCAAAGCTAACTCCACACTGAGATACCCTTGAAAGGCAATGAGGTTAGCAATTTTTTGAAAAGCCATCTACCCACTAAAATAGGATCTGATGCATATGAAGATTTTTAGGTTTTCTTCCAACTACAGCATTTTGTGACACCCAAGGCATGGTGCAAGAGGAGAGACCAAGGCATGTGCTCAAAGGCCATGGTGGCTTTCTGGCTTGCCTCCAAAGAACTCAAGTATTTTACTTCCTTTCATATAAATATATGCCAAAATCAGCTAATTTCACAAGCTAGTGAAAGTATCAATAACCCCTGACTTCTTAAACCCTGAGCGAAAGCGTTTCCATTTACTGAGGCATGGCATGGCTTGATGTTTCCACGGCCCCAGTGATGTTCATGTGAGAATTTAAATTCTGGGAGAAGATGTGCCCTTGGGTTGCTCAGTTTGCCTCAATAGCACCTTGATCCCAAACACAAGAGTATTATCTGTCTTTCTCTCCAAGCATTCTTGCTCTCTCCCTTTTCTTTACAGTTAGTTCCACAGTGCTGTGCTGCCCTGAGTCATCCTCACAGCCACACTGTGGCTGGTCGCAGATGCAGGCAGCAAGAGCTGCGAGTCTCTTATGTTTCCCTGCGTGTGGTGTAGACTGGGAGATGATTGCATAGTGACCTCCATCATCAGAACTCACTTGTCCAAGCTTCTTCACACCAGAGGGTCACAAGTGAGCCACATAAGGAACGTTTCTGTGCCATCTGTTATTGTCTATCCCCTGACATTATCATATTGTTAGCTGTTTAAAAAACCTTAACAAAAGGTAAGCCAGTGTGCTACTAGTGGACAGAGATCCTCAGAGTTTCATAACTTCCCAGTGTTCTCACAATGAAGAAAATGAGAAAAAATCACATATGCAGAGTGGAGGCAGAGGAAACACAGTGTACTCCCAACCTCCCAGGTCACACAGTGAGTGCTCACCTGCCAGGTTGCCCTGGGCACCTGCAGTGGAAGTCGCTACACAGAACCCTTTGGGATTTGCAAGCTCCTGAAGACCCGGTCCTTGCTCTGGAGAGCCTGTAGAGTTAGCACAGCTTAGAAAGGGACACAGGGTAAGTACCCTATAGTAACAAGGAAGTGAGAGGCTGCAGGGGGCTCACAGGGGCAGGTCAGGCCTGGTCAGACAAACTGAACCACAAGGACAGTGTGGAAGAAGCAAACCTAGAGCTGCTAAAGCCAGCGGATGGCTGGGCCTGCAGTGACAGGGAAGAAGGGCAGACAGAGTGGGGTAAGCCCACAAGGAAGAGGCTCAATCCCACTTTGCTTCTCCCGTCTCTCACTTAGAAATAGTGCAAGTAAGAACCAAAATACATAACACATACTGTGAAACAGGAAGAAATTTTTCTGAAGGAAAGTGGAATGGGGGAGGGAGGAAGGGAAAAGGAAAAATGAGATAATAAAAGACAAAATGGAAACACAGTTTCGTAAATAAAGATCAGACAAAAGGATGAAGGGAGGGGAGGAGAATGGGAACTCAGTTATATCACAGGTACAAGTTCCCTGTGATGAATGTGATCTTTATGTAAACCTAAATGGTACCAGTAAACTTGATTTAAAAAAAATAAAGAGATGAGCCTCTGGGCCAAGGTTGTTGCTTGGCAGTGGAATACTGACCTAGCATATACAAGGCTCTGGACTCATATATATGTACAGTCTCTGCTGGCTGATTGTCATAACAAACATGTCAGTGTTTGCCATATGAATTGTACCTCCACACATGTAATCTTTTATTTTAGAAGTTCACAGTCTGTGCAACTGTGCACAGCCTCTCTCTCTCTTTCTCACACACACACATACATATGCATATGCACACGCCCCTGTGCACATGCTGTGAGCCTGAGGCTAATTCTTGAAGCCCTTCAAAAACTACTCTGCTTTCTCAATACCATTGAAATTGTGCTCAGTGCAGTGAGCTCAGCAATTTTTCCAGTTGTCCATAGTTTCTGGACAGTCACCTCCAAGCATGATCTAAGTGCCTACCCCCTACTATGTTTCAAGAAGTCTGTTCTCTGCCCAGGAGCCTAAAATACTAGCGTTGTCACACCCTGCTGCTGGAGCTCCTGATGGGATACAGTGTCCAGGCAGAAGGTAACAGCTAGCTGTAAACTGTGTCTGAGAGGACCTGAGACACTGATGCCCAGGATACCCGGAAGGGGAAGCAGGGAAGGGATTATTGCTCACCATGACCAACTGAGGACACCAGTCAATAAGGAGGAGAAGAGATGCCGAAGACAACCCTGCTGCACAGGATGGTCCCAGCGGGCTCTGACCATAGTGTAGCCCTCGAATGCATTTGTCACTGCAGAGATCTTATGATTCTGGCTGAAATGGAAACTGTAACAAGGCATATCAAAAAAACATTTAATGTCCATGACAGAAATGAGTCAGTTCACAGAGAAACAGGAGCATCTCTCATACCAGTGTGCAGGACAGGCAGGTGACATAAGAAAGGATGGTGGGGAGAGAGCGGCCTTGGGAATGCAGGAGACTCCTGAGAGGGGCAGTGTGGGGACCGAAACACTCGCACCCAGTGCACCTTGCACACACTGGTGGCCACTCTGGCCGGGCACATGCACTCTCATAGACTGGGCATGACTGGCAGGAGTGGAAAATGCTCCTGTGTGACAGCTTTGCCCTGAGCAAACAGAAGGGGCTGCAGTTGCCATCTGTGTTCCCTCAAGCAGTGACCCATCCTCTGCTGTGCCTCATCTCTTCTCCAGGGCCAGAATGGAGCGAGGGTAGCTGGAGATGAAGTCCCTGGTGCCCTCACGTGTGGAAGCTGGGACATCATTACAGGGCATGTTTGCATTTTATTGTTTGCTTTTCTTGGCAAAGCCCCTTCCAGCAGCTTCAGAGGAAAACAGTCACAATAAAAGCATTTCAGTAGCATTTACACAATAATCCTGTCATTCGTGAACTTAGAAAACAGATTGGTTTTTCCTGAGGAGGTGACAAGCCAGAGTGTGACCCATTAACCGTTATCAAGCCCTACCTCAGAGCCCAGCAGGCCCTCCAACTTGAGCCAGGCCCCTTTAAAACTACCCCTCAAAACCCTTGTCTAGAAGACACAGCCAGGACTGCAGCCTGGTGTGACAACTTCTCATTCTTGATATTCTTTCCAGAAGACATTGCCAACCAGCACCCTGTAAATAGATCTTACTTTTGAGCCAATGAATACAATTTCAATCAGTTTCTGCAGATGAAAATGTTAATAACTTTGCACTTTCTCCCTACATGGAAACACACATATACACACGCTCAGTTCCCCCAAACCTGGTACACATTAGATAATGAAAACAAACAGAAAATTCCCAGCAATATATTTTTGATACTTTCTACATCTTCACAGAAACTGTCATCACAAGTCACTACTTGCCTACATACATCTAATCATTTTCTTTTTGATTTGCACAAGGAACCATCAGCAAATGATCACTGTTTAATACAGAACAAAGTCAAAATAGAGTCTCTCTGTCAGGTTACATCTGAAGCACAATGTTGATTCAGGCTAAAGGTGCCTGACACGTTTTCCCACAAATGTCTGAAGCAATCAACTTTGTTGGGAGTCATCAAGGTCAAACTGGCAGGATGAAAAAGATAGGTAGGGTGATAGGAAGTCAGGAGGAGGCCTCCGAGGTCTAAGTGTTTACTGGAACAATGCAATGTTCTCATGGAACTAAAACTTGGGACCTGTTCCCTGCTGTCTTCCTAAGTAATACTTGAAAACCCCCACTCTTCAGGGCTGCATCACCTGGCTCATTAGCACTGGCTCATTAACACTGGCATGGAGTCTTCCCTGCATGCACGGGCATCAGTACTATCTTGCCTAATCCCACCTCCTAAACTGTGCCCATTCCTGCCATCTCTGTCTCTGAAGACGTCACCTGTTCTCGCTCCCATCTGATGGTAGATGTATTACAGGTGCTTGAGAACATGCTAGGTTTTAGTTTTGTGTGGTTTAAAAAGCAATTTCCTATGAACTTATCCATCCTTTTGGCTTGGCGGCGAACAGGCTCTTGGGATACAGGCGCATTTTGAGCAGCTATGTGGGCTGTCCTCTCTCTCTTTTTAGCCACAGAGACCTCTGCATGCTTTTCCTCTGCTCTGTTTATTGCCAACCTCATCTTCACAAAAAATTCCCAGCTCTCAGAAGCCTGCTCTTCTCCTGAGCTCCTATGGCCTTAACCTTGTTTGTCAACTTGATTGGACTGAGAGTTGCCTGGAAAATTGGCAAAGCAGGCTTTTTGGAGTCTGTAGGGTGTTGCAGAGACCATCAGCATGCTGGTCAGTGGACTGAGGGGAAAGAGCCACCTGGACTGCACGTGGTACCATCATCAAATAGGCTGGGGACCTGGGTGGAAGAGAAATAGACCCTTGTGCACACATAAACACACCTGCGTGCAAAAGTGCAGATTTGCCGCTGTCACCATCCAGAACATCAGACTCCAGCAGTGATTTTGCAGAAGCTTCTAGGCTGTCAGCCCCAGACTGGGGTACCATCACGCCCTCTTCTTCCAGCTCCCAGCCTCATGGACCAAGCGGCTGCTGATTTCTCCACGCTCCAGCCTGCAGAGGCCATTGTGGGGCTATTCAGGCTCTGATCCTGTCAGCCAATCGAATAAATTCCTTTTTCATTATACATGCATTCTACCGGCTCTGGGCCTCTAGAGTACCCGGATCATAGGGTCCCTAGCAGGCAACCCCGAGAAGTTGGTACATTCCCCAGATCACCTGTCCCCATTCCAGATCCTTGCCTAGTGCAATTGCGCTGTTGATTTGTAACAGAGGGATGAGTAACACAAGTTCTGTTCTCTTCCTGCGAAGATAAAGAAACTGAGACTTAAACAAAAAACCTGGACCCACAGAGAGTTTGTTGGTAATCAGGACAGAAATTGAGCTTTCCAGATATCAGTTGGTGAGTCAAAAGAGACTAGTTTTAGTGCCTCCATATAACTGACCTCAGTCCTTTATTCTCAGACTGTAATATCTGTGAATAGTTAACTGGCCAGATTTCCTGCTTCTATATTTCCAAAAGATGATTTCCCCTTATTATAAAAATATTATAAGTCATGTAAGAATTGTAAATATTTGCTGGTTGTGGCAGGTTACATCTCTAATTCTAGCATTGCTGAGGCTGAAACAGGAGGATCAATGGGAGTTCCAGGCCATCTTGGGCTACAAAGCAAGAGTCTATCTCAAAAACAAACAAACAAACAAAATGGAAACACTCTAACATCAGAAACAAGGAAAATATCAATTACACAGTTAGAATACCAAAGAAAACCACTGTAAACATCTTGATGCATTCAAATTCCATCTTTGCCATGTTTTCATGTGAAAATATTTTTTTAAAACATTGTAATCATCCTGTGATTTCCTGTACTTTGCTTTTTATTTTAATATTATACCATTATCTGTCCCCCTAATTATTCTAAAATCAAACTAAATGGAATTTGTATGGCTTTATAATTTTTCAGGAAATTGATGTAACAACAAAAAATTACTAATGGTTTAACTTCAGATTATTCCCAAGACTTCCTTATTGTAATTACTTATTGCTATGAATATCTGTGTGGGAAAGAGGAGTGTTTCTGTTTGTGAAATATTCTTCCTTAGAATAAAACCCCAGTAGTAGAATTATTGGATCAATATCAAGGAATTTCAAGTAATTTCCCAGGTCAGGTTTTATGCTATTTGTAACTCATATGCCAAAAATTTTTTCCAGAGAATAACAAATTTATGTGATACCTAGGAATATGCACAAGGCTATTTCATACCTGATAAACATTTTTAAAATCTCATTTAAAAATAGTTGCTAATTTACAAAATAAAATTGATATCTTTGAGTTGTTTCTGTGAAGAGTTTAAAACACTAGATACATTTTTATTATTTTTAAAAAATGTGTTTGTATGTGGTCTTGCCTATTTGTCTGTTAGATTATTAGTACTTTTAGATCAATTTATATGAACTTTGCAACTATTATAGATATGATTACCATATTGGCATCTAACATACTTTCCCAGTTTTTGCTTGATTTTTGAAAAGCTTTTATTGATATCAAATAATTGTACAAAGTACACAATTAGATACATTTTGATCAACATAATCAAGATAATAAATTTTTCCTCACTCCAAAAGTTTTCTCCTACTCACTCATCCTCATCTATTAGTAAACTCAATTCTGCTTCCTGACACCATCGATCCATACTTCCTAGATCTACAGTTTCAACTCCTGTTTTCTGTGTCTTCTTTCACTCAGCATTGGTAGTTCAGAATTCACCTATGTTGTTTTGTCTCTTGATAGTTCATTCCTCTGTTTATTACTGGATAGGAAGTGTTCCATGGTGTGGATATGCCCCAATTTATTTACTCATTCATCTATTGGTTATTTCCAAAATTTGTCCGTTTTACAAATAAATCTACTATAAGCACTTTGTAAGTGCTTCCTATGTTCTATGTTTTTATTTCATGTTAATAAATTTCTAGTAGTGGAATGGCCAGCTTATACAGAAGGTAAACATTTAATAGCTTCCAAAACTGAAAAACTCTATCCAAAGTCTTTCTACCATTTTACACTCCTGGGGATATGTGGGAGCTCCTATTCCTCCATGATCTCCACACTTAGCAGAGTCAGACTTTAGTTTTAATCACCAGGTGCATAGTGGTATCTTATGATAGCATTAATTTCTACTTCCCTAATCTCTAATGACATCAACATCTTTCTATGGGCTCACAATTTCTTCTTTTATGAAATATCTTTCCAAATCTTCTACCCAGTTGTCTTTTTTAAAAATTTTGCTTTAAACCAAGCAAAATAAAACCAATCAAAACAAAGAAGTGTAAGTGATACAGGACTTCAAAACAAGATAATAGGAAATCAACAATGGTTACCATAATACCTCTTGTTGTCTTCATAATAGCTGCCCATACCTTCAGATATAGTAAAAATCAAACAAAGAAGAGAATAGAACCAAAAAAGATAAAACAATGAATGCAATATAGGACTTCAAAACAAGATAGTAGTAAACCCAAAATGGTTACCATAATATATCTTGTTATCTTTGAAACAGCTCCCTATGCCATCAGATATAATAAAAGCAAACAAGACAAAACAGAATAAAACCCAATCCAACAAAACAGTGCAAATGATACAGAGCTTCCAAACAAGATAATAGGGAATTAACAATGGCCATCACCTTCAAAAGGAGTTCCTCCATAGCTGTTACATTGCATATTGGTATCCTCTGAATAGATGACCAGACCTGCAAAGTCAGTGAAACACTAAACACTACAACAAGCATTAACTTGTATTTTTCAATAGCGGTAAACACAGCCTGTGTTCCTTTGGATCAGCTGGTCACTTATGGTGGGGGAGGGCTGTTGGCTCTTCTTGTCTCCCAATCAGCACACCAGAAGGGGCTGGACTCTGGTTCTCTCCCCAGCGGTAACTTACATGGAGGGTTTTCTTCTTGTTGACTTCCTGTTCTCTTTCCCCACAGTCTGAGGATGGCACCAGTTTTGTCTCCTTATTATGGTTTTGAGAGTTTTTCATATATTAATTTCCAGATATATGTTATACAAATGTTTTCTTCCAATCTGTAGCTTCTTGCCACGGTCCCTTAGACAGAATAAATTTTACTTTTGTGTGTGTGTGTGCCAGGAATTGAACTCAGGATTTTCTGCTTGCCAGACAGTCACTTGTGCTGCTGAGCTGTATCCCTGGCCTTAAATTTTACATTTTTATAAAGTCCAGTATAGTAACTGATTCCTTTACTGACTGTATTTTTGGTGCTATATCAAAGCATTTTTTGAATATGCAAAGTCACAAAGATTTTTTTCTCAAAGATTTATAGTTTTACATTTTATATTTATTTGCAAAAGAATATCTCATCACCTGGCCCATTTAAAGAAAGGACTGTCTTTTTGGTCAGGGTACTGGCTTGCACTTTTGCTGAAAATCAGTTGTCTGCACATGTTTAAGTCTATGTCTGGAGTCTGTTCTATTCCACATGCAATTCAATATTTGTCTTTATGTCAATAACACAGCATCTCAACTACTATAATTTTATATGTCTGAAAGTCAGGCATTTTAGTCTTCCAAAGTTGTTTTTTTTATAATTGTCTTGGCTATTCCAGACCCTTTAGCATTCACAGAGATTTCTTGAATACCTTAGTAAATTTCTACAAAAACACCAGCTGGCATTTTGGTTATGACTGCATTGGATTTATAGGTTAACTAAGGAAATAATATGTATAGTATTTTAAGCTATTGATGACAACTTGATGAGGATATCAACTTTTTACATTTTCTTTAATATCTTTTTAGCCATTATTTTATAGTTTTCACTGTCTTCACATCTATATTAATCCAGGATTTTTTAAGGAAAACTATTCAGATCTATTTTAGGATAGTTATTTAATAAGAGCTAATCCTAACTACTGTACTTCATGTAATCATATTAGAAATGGTATTGCCTTAACAATTTCAGTCCTGAATGTTGCTGGGATACAGACAAAGATAGATAATTTCAGTCCTGGCTGCTGCTTGGATACAGATAAATACAGACATAGACATAAACATAGACATAGACTGGATATTGGGTTCAGTATATTTTTGTTTCTCTATTTTATCTGTTTTGTTGGTTTATTAGTAATAAGTCTTGTTGTTCTTTAGTCAGTTTAGTGTTTATACTTCACATCTAAATTTAGATTTTCCTTCAAATGGCACCATATGTTCCAAACAACTCTCTATTATTATTTTAATAGAGAAATACTAATTAAAAATACTTTAAAAGCAGAAAGGAAAAAAATTATTTAACATGTCATTACCTTTCCCTGTGTTCTCCATTCCTTTGTGAAAATCTGTATTTACATAGAAATAGACACAGACATAGATACAGATACACTGTATTTTGCATATTGATGTTAGGCTTCTAAACTATTATTCTGATAATATTTTGGAGATTTTTATCGTATTTCGCTTAGATCATCATGCCAGCTGCAATACAGTTTTGCTTCTTTTCAATCTCGATGACTTTTGTTATTTTGACTTATATTTGCTAGAAATTCCAGTAGATGTTTGTGTTGCATTGCTGTTATTAATTTTTTCAGTGAATAATTCACCAGTAAAACTACATGGGCCTAAAATTTTCTTCATAGGAACGTTTTTAACTATACATTCAACTTTTTTAGTAGACTCAGGGCCGTTCAAGCTATTTATTTCTTGAGTACATTTTGATAGTCTGTGTCTTTTAAGAAATTTGCGAATACAAGGCTTTTGAAATGGTTGACAGAAAAGTGCTCATAAAACTCCTTTATTCTTTTAATATCTGTAAATTCTGTAGTAAGTGTCACTTCTCTCATTCCTGATACTGGGAACTTGTGTTTTCTATTTTTTTTCTGATACGTATGGTACAGATTTTTCAAATCTAATGGATTCTCTCAAAGGACTAATTGCTGGCTCATTAATTATGCCTATTATTTTTCTGGTTTTTATTCCTTTAACTTCTCCTCTGATCTATAGCATTCTTCTTTTTCTTACTGTGGACTTTATTTGCACTTCTTGTGCTATCTTTCTAAAGTAAGAACTTAAGTCGTTGATTTGAGACCTTTTTCCTTCCTTCCTAACATAAACATTTAGTGCTACAAACTTAACCCTACGTACCATTTAAAATCATTGTGCAATATTCACACTTTCATTCAAAGGAATTTATTTTCTAATTTTCTTTCTGATTTATTTATGACCAATGGAAAAGTTATTTATAAATATTTGCTGCTTTACCAGATATCTTTCTGTCACTGTTTTCTATTTAATTTCATTTTAGTTAGAAAATTTACTGCCTCAACTTGAATTCTTTTTAAATTTTTTGAGCACGTGTTTTTATGGACCAGAATATATCTTTAAAATTATGTATATTCTATTGCTATTGGATGGAGATTTCCATAAATGCCAATTAGATTAAGTTGGTTGTAAGTGCTGCTTGGGTATTCTATGTTGTCAGTGAATATCTGCTTCTCTAAAAGAAAGATGTTCAAATTTATGACTCACATGGTAGGTTTTTAAATTTGTGTTTAGAGTCCCATTGGTTTTGTTTATGTAATTTGAAGCTCATAGGCACTTAAAATCATTATGTCTCTCGGTGAAGCAGTCCCTTTTCCATTATGACATGACCTTTATTTCTGATAATTTTCTCTGTTCTGAAATCTAATAGTATTACTGACGCTTCCACTTTCTTTTGATTAGTGTTGGCACAGTGTATATTTTTCATTCATTTACCTTTAACCTGTTTGTGTCTGTAAAAAGTGTGTTTCCTGTAGACAATATATTCAGTCTTATAGTTTCTGCTTTTAATTGGGATGTTTCGACCACTAACAGTCATCATAGTTTTCAATACAGCTAGGCTTCAGGCTGCCATCATGCTATTTGTTTTCTGTTCATTCCTTCTGTTCTTTCTTGCCACTTCCCTTCTTTTTCATCTCCTTTCATTTGGATTCATTGCATATTTTTTGTCACTCTATTTTCATCTTGTTTGGTGGTTTATTAGTAATAAGTCTTTGTTGTTATTTAGTAGCTTATATACGGTTTATACTGCACTTCTTTATTGAGACTTTCCTTCAAATTGCACTATAAGTTTCAAACAACTTTTTATTATTTTAACAGTGCAATACTACTTAGAAATACTTTAAAACCAGAAAGGAAAAAATGTATTTAATTTGTAATCACCTTTTCATGTGTTCTCCATTCCTTTGTGAAAATCTGTATTTCCGTCTGGTATCATTTTCCTCTTGACTTCTGTATGCTACTGATTATTTCTTTCCACTTCTGTATATTGGAACAGTCTTTATTTCACCCTGTTAGGGAATGATATTTTTTATGGGATAGAATGCTAATTGACAGATTTTTTTCTTTTAGTGTTATAAAGATGTTATTATACTATCTTCTCACATTGTTTTAAACAAGAAATCTGCTAGAACTCATGTTCATTATTCTGTGTACAACATGACCCCTCCCTTGGCTGCTTGAACATTTTTAAAGTTTTTGAAACCTATTTTTACTTTTGAGCAACTTGATAACAATGAGTGTTGGGCTAATTTTTCTCAGGCATCATATGATTGATGTTTGCTTGCTTGTTTTTGATGCTTGTGATTGCTATAGCCCTAGTTTCTTGCTCTTCTCTCTGTCTCTCTCATATATATACACATATATAATATGTACATACATATATATTTTTTGTTTTGGTTTGTTGGTTTGTTTGTTTGTTTTGCTTTCCTGAGACACAGTCTTGCTAAGTTACTAAGTTGCCCTAGCTGGGCTTGAACTTGTGAGCCTCTTGGCTCAGACTCCCAAATACTGGGATTACAGGTTTGTACCACACCAATTTGGGCTTGAACTTTTTTTTTTTTTTTTAGACTTTTGGATCTCTGGATTTATATATCTCATAACATTTTAAAATTTTATTTTTAAAAATATTTTTGCTGCTTTCCATTCCTCTTCTTTGAGGATTCCAGTTCAGGATAAACCTCCATAGTTTCATAGTTCTCTTTCTTTAAAAACAAACAAAACGAACACTTTTTTCTTTTTGTGCTATATTTTCACTTTTATTTTTTTACCTATATCTTTAAATCCACAGATCCTTTCTTCTTCAAGGTCTACACTGCTCTGCAGGATGGCAACTCCTCAGGGCGAGGCTCCCCAGACCCCGAGGTTGGACTGGGTGTCCTGATCTAAATATCCCCACAGCTTCCTGTAGCTCATTATTTTTATAATTATAATTATTTTTTAAAATCCATGTCCTTCATTGAATTGTGCGTTCCCAGGAGGGCAGGGCATAATTTGTCCTGTTCTTTGCTTTATTCTCTTTGTAGCATTAGGCCCACCACCCATACTTAGTAAACCTGTGTTGAATCCATAAATCAATGAATACGCGCACTTTATTCAGAAGGTAATAAAATGGGATCCCCAAATTGACTGACCAGATTTTCTTTTTATCTTGGTAGTTTCCCAATGCAAACACACTATCAACTGAAATAGAGAAAATCGTGATCCCCACAGCAGGAAAAGGAGGACAGTTACCCACGAAGAGTGTTTTTCAGAGACTATCAACCCCATAAAATAAGCCTTGTTTCCTCCAGAGGGCAAAAGACACAATGTCCACATCAGTCAGACCTAAGAGGGAACTGAGAAATCAATGCTCACACGTCTTATACAAACCAAAAGAAAGCAAGGAAGAAACCTGATGCTGCTGGTCTATTCATTTGCCTGGGACCTTGACCTCCACACTAAAGCTCCTGGTTTACTAGCCACGTTGTCTCCATGCACTGACTTCCACGCAGCCCCCCATCCCCACCCAGCCTGTAGAGCCCTGCAAATAAATTCTGACTGCAGTGGTGTCACTGACTTTGCAAAGAAGCAAAACTCTAAAGAGTCACTTTTCCATGCAGGAGAATATTTCCTAATAATTCTGTAACTGGAACTCTGACACACCCCAATATTTCTTATTAGTAATCATGAGGCCCATAAGCAAGTATTTATATATACAACCACCTGTAGGTACAAGCCAAAGCCAAAGCAGAAGTAAAAAAAAAAAAAGGTACCAGGGCACCTTATGATATATAGAGATAGATATGTCCTGAACTCCCTTCAATTACATACCCAAATTGTCACCTATATCTAAAGGAAAAGTGTTTTAACCCTAGCTGGTACTCCCAACCAGCATAATTTTCAGCCGGGAACTCATTCTGGGATTGCTTTATTGCTTTTGTAGTCAACTACATTTTAGCTGAAGTGTTATTTTTTCCATTTTATAATAGCCTACTTTAGTAGGCTACTTTAAAATATAAAGTCCTAAAATTTAATAAACAGATCAAATGCTAAAGAGACACACCTTTTTCATCTTTCTTTTCTTTTATCTCTTTCAAAGTCTTCTTGTTCCTCCAATTTTGAATGAGTGTGTTATGTAGAACACCAGTCCAATAATGGTCATCACAAAACCAGCAAAAGAGAAGCTTACTTTTTCTTTAGTTTATGAACACAGTGAGATCCTTGTTGCAGGGGAGGGGTCTGGTGACATAGTCAACACACTGACCATGAACATCTTGTCCCCAACAGTTAAATCATGGTGCTGGGGAAACTCACTTATCTAAAGAGATGTCTTTCTATTTACTGTTTCAACAGCAGGAAAGCTCTCAGCCTATGAATTACACGTGGTCAGGAGCTGGCACATTGAGAACCATGTACCACCTACATCAGCAAAGGTTAAATGGGCCTGGTCTCTCACCTTTCCATGGAATTCTTAGGTTGGTTAAACTTGTCTCATGGTACTTTTGCCCAGTGTTGTACTGGCATACTGCAGAATGGCTTTTGTTTGGCAGCATATTCAGATTTTGAAGGGAAATGCAGAGAAGAGTGAAGGAAGACAGACCCAGCCTTCTTCCCAGGCTTCTGTGGAATCAACCCTGGGAATCACTGAAATGACAGATGTTGGACACAGATGCCCAAATATCCACTCGATAGCCAAGCTTAATGAGCGAACACAGGAAGAGCAATTAGAGAACTCATTAATTATACTCTAGGTTCATGTCCATTGTTAACTAATCCTTTGTTTGGCTAATGACTTCAGCTTTTTCTTATAATAATTTGTGGTTATCAGTGAATGATAACATCTTCAAATTTCCATAATTGTGTAAAACTCACACTACACGTATGACTCTTCCTTTCTAGTTCTAAAAGGACCCGGAGTAACTTCTAAGGGCACATAAAATACTTCAAGAAAACACAAATTGGGTAGGGGAGGGAATAAACAATAAAAAATAAGAATGGAGCAAAGAATGCGGCTCACATAAGGCTATGAACTACAAAGTCTTATACACTTAAGAGTCTATATGAGAAGTGGGAATAGTTTAGAGAGCTCAGCCAGGATTTTCATCTGAAAAACGCAGACATTTGTGAAAGCTTATTCTTAAACATTCAAAACCACAGGTCTATTCTAATTCAGTAGTTTGCTCTCCGTCTTTCTTTGCCTTGCATAATAGCAGTATATTCCACCGTGCCCTGTGTTTTTAATAGTTTATTATAGAAATAAAACCAAAAATTCCTTCAGGAGATAAAATGATGAAAAAGTGCATTTTGGGCCACTTTGTGAACTCAGGCCAGCATCTGAGAGGAGGGTAATGAGATTCTGCTCCAGTAGCCTTTCGGGCTGTTGCCCCTGCTCTTGAGCTAATTCATGTGCGCTCCTTGGCACACTCTCTTGCTCTCGGCCTTGAGCGATCCCTGTGCTGACAGCAGAGGCTCCTTGCTAGGTACCAAAACTGTTTCAAGATGTTTCCAGCTGAGAAATGGCCACCTGTATCCATTCCAGTTGAGGCTCTAAGTTATCCTACTGCTCAAGGCTTGCTGAGGAAAGTTCAAAAGGTGTTCCTCTGAATCATTCATGCTTTTGCTATCCTTGACCTAAAGCAATCTGGTGGATTTGGGGGTACAGGGGTGTCAAGCTTTTACCTGAAAAAAATTTAAATGTATATGCTCCAATATTCCCATAATGTATGGATTTTTACTGTATTCTAAAGTCAAACTTTATGTTACATACACAATAGCATGAAGTATTATAAAATAAATACAATTTACTGGTAATCTGTTTATTATTTTGATCAAAACAGAGGCCTAGATGTTAAAATATAATTTCACATAAATGTGCAGCACTATCTTGTACATGAATTCATATTTGTTTGCTTATATACAGTAGCAAATAATACAGCTTAATTTGTTCTCACTTGGTTTAAAATGCCTATGCTAGAAAATAATTACAGTAACAGAATTTTATTTACATTATATTAATATGGAAACCTTATTTGTGATTTCAAGACCAGAAAATGCGTCTCCATCTGCAGGGTAAGAAATATGCAAATCAACATCAAAATCAAAGTGAAAAAAACATGTATAATGTGGGTTATTTCACCTTTGCAAGCTGGGAGCTATTAAGTAATGGCTCTCTCCGCTGCCTCCCCATCCCCTTCCATAAAACACGCTGAACGTAGCCCATGTTTTTGAGAAGAATGTGCTCCACTGCCCCTTGAAAACCCTGTTTCATTTAGTGACTTAATGATGGACCATTTGGACTGGAACATCCAATTCCCTTTCATCAATCATGTCTTTCTGGACTTTCGGTGTTACAGCAGTAATTACAAAGCCTTCTCCTCCATGCAACTGCAAAGGAACACCCAGACTGCCGCTCTACTTAGGATTTTCTAGGGACCTGGATCTTCTCCTTCCTTCCACATGAGCAGAACAAGCTGTGGGAAAAGGAGAAAGCCTACCAGAACGAGGAGGTTGGTGACTCAAGGGTTAATCTAGAAAGTCTTGTTACTTGGTGCTGGAAAAGAACATTGTAAGAGATGGCTCTTTATACAATGCAAACCTGAGGAATACAAAATACTGTCAACCATGAAAATAAGATTTAATTTGGAATCACAACACACAGGGTTTTCTCCCACTTTAAATTCTTCTTATTCAATCGTATTTGTTATAAATATTCAATAGAAATGCAGTTTTCCAGGGCTGCAATGGTCTTTAATAAAGCAAGCCATGTGTGGCTTTTCAGCCGAGCATTTTCATGCTTGGTTAACTGTCAGGATGTTCATATTCCTTTCCCCAAAATTATTATTTGTGATTCTGCTTAGGTCTCTGAAAAGCAACTTATTCTCTGGCGACTTGAGGAATCATCTACACATCACAATTCCATCAACATCACAGGCCCGAAGCATTTCAGATGGGATTTAAGGCGAAGGCGGACCTTCCATTTGGACATGGCCAAGCATTCACACATCGTTACAAATCATCTCAGATGGCTGTGAATGCCCGCCTGGAAGTCGAAGGGCTGAGTTCAGTGGAAGCTCTGCTACTTGCTATTGAACTTGCTGTTTAGCACTGGGCAAGTTATTTTCCCAGAACAGACCTAAGGAGTCTGCTCTTTAAAATAGAGAATTGGGTTCATTGGAGGAGCATTCAAATATTGGCAGTGGGCCAAATCCACTCTGCCCTTGTAAATAAAGCTTTATTGAAACATAACGATGGCCATTAGCCTACTATTGTCTATGACTTTAAATGCATAATGGAGCTGTGACAGCTGATTTGGCCTATAAAGCCTAAAATATTTATTATCTGCCCATTAGTAGAATAAACATAGGTCTTCACTTGATGATTTCTTGAGTCCCTTCCAATCCTTTGAATATTCTATAAAATACCTACTTTTTACACACATCAATAATTTCAGTCCCCATCTTTAATAGCTCCTATGAAGTAAACTTCAAGAGAGACATGGGATACATTAACCAACCTTCACTAATAGTTTCATTTTCTTTCTTGATTGGATTTAAATGATATTATCAGTTCATGAAAATATCCAAGGTAAAATTTGGGGGCAAATGTCCCATGATTTGATTAGCATTGGTAAATAGAGCATATTTTTTTTCCTACTAAGAATATTTAAGAAGGAAAAAAAATATATGGCATTGGAGACTTATTGCATTAAGACATCATTTTAACAGATTGTTTAGTTTTGGTAATATAATTTGACATCTAAACATAAGCTGAGAGGGATCTCCCTCAAAACCTTTGATAATATGATTCATTGTCAAATGTTTGTTTTGCCTATCTGGCACTGATTAATTAATTCTTTTTAATATAGCTTGGATTTACTGATTTTGAAAAAGAGAATTATTCTTATTGATGTTGCTAAAATATCCAGGTGGCTTGAATTTCACCAACTAGATAGTTTAATCTAGCACATTTGTGTAGCCCTAATCAAATCTTTACTAACAGATGTGAGAAGCCCAGTACTGGAGCTAATATTTGTGTCTTTATGATAATTAAATTACCTCAATAAGAAAAATAAATGAACAATAATGATCAAACTTTTTCCCTAAATTTATTATCTTATAGACTCTTTTGGTAATAAAATATAAGTTGAAAACTTTTAGTTTAAAAATATATGTTTATTTTTTTCAAGAACTCATCATGGACTGAATTCCTTATAATCAAGCAATCAATCTGAACTTCTTTTATCAAAAGAGAAAAACCTATAACTAAATCATAATTCAAATTTAAATTTTTTCAACTCATTCATTAAAAAGATTGGAATTGCCTTTTGTTTTGGCCAATAGTACAGAAAATATTTTACTGGAGAAAACAAAAGTAGTGTTTTCTAATAGGTAGCAAATACCTTTCTCAGGGTGAATGATTATTTTCACATATAATTAGCTCCTGCTTATGGTGGCCCTGAACTAACGGCATGGCTCAGCGGATTGGCTTTATAATAGTTCTCGCTGAGGTTCTGGTTCCAGGTGACAATGCTCACGGCAGTAACTTCTCATCTAACACAGTTTGTACAAAGGGAGATTTTTAGAAAGCTTACATTCATCGGAGGATTGAAGAGGTTGTTGAAAAGCCAAGCGAAGCCATCTCAGACCAGGCAGGTTCCTAGAAGAAAGGTGGTCAGCAGATGCAGGCAGATGCTGGCCAGGGAGGCCCTGGTGCTGCCCCCACAGGGAGGCCACGATGCAGCTGTGCAGCAGAGCCTGCCGGACAGGGGCTCCGTGTGAACGTGGACACAATGCTCCTCTGTTCCTGTGGCACTGTGCTCTGACCTTGCTGGAGGCAAAGCGGTGTCAGCTGCACTTGGAGGATGGTCAGCTGTGGTGCGAGGGCCAACGCGGCCACTGAGCCCCTCACCGCCCTGTGTGCCTGCAGGTGCGGCCACCTGTATTTGTGTGTTCTACCCTGTTTATTTATTTGCCTGGCTAATCAGCTCAAGATCACATTCCCAAGCTAGATGTGTTCTTTTGTGAGAGAGACAAGTCAAAAGGAAGAAAAAAGGGATGAAGGAAGAGAAAAAGAAAGAAGACAGGGAGGGAGGACAAGGGAGAGGGAGGAAGAAGCAGTCTAGTTTTTTGTAGTTTTGTCATTAAATTTTCTTGTTTTAAGACCTCTTAGAGAAAGATTAGAAATATGACTTGACAAATCATTTAGAAATTATATGGCTGTATTGTTTTATTGCACTATAAATAAAATATCCAGCGCTATGTACAAATAAAATAACCCTGAGCCCCTGCTTTATGTTTAGTTTAATACATTCTCTTAACTTAAAATGTGATTACTTTTTTCCTTCATGCAGAAGCCTACTATTTAGCTGAATTAGAAAAGCTGAGAAAATCAAAATGAAACTAATTTTTACCCTGTTTCATTCAAAACAAAGTGCATTGCCTCTTAGTTCGTTCCAAAAAAAAAAAAATCCATGGGTTAGACACCTAAGGAGCCAGAGCCTATCCTAATGTTATACTCACCCTGTGTTACTCACATCATAAAGATGTGAGAAGGTCTTGCACATCCTCTTAACCAGAAGGGAAACTAAGGCTGCTACCAAACACACTGCTGGTAGGATTCCATTTACCCGAGAGTCTGAATTTAGCTTTCCACCTCTGCAAAAAAGCACAAGCACCCAGGCAAATCTTTAATTTTAGCCCAAAATACCTTGTAGATGTGATCATGTGACTTGCATGGAGTCACTAAGTATGTTAACAGGTCAGATATACAAATTTAAATATTCTTCCAAACTAAACACTTTGGCAGAGCTAACTATGTAAAATACCTAAGCTAAGTCTTTGTATGAGAGTAGGAGTCTCTGGTTCACAGAAGTGTCCATGTACAGGGTGAAGCAAGACACCAAAAGATGGTATGAAGTAGCAAAATACCGCAAGTCCAGTTAGTAGGGCAGCTGGGGAAAACAAAGTACTGTCAGCAGTTTAGGTAACAGAGCTATATCAGTGCTAAGTTCCTGATTCTGATGATTGTACTGTGGCTATCTAAGATGATGTCTTTATATAGGGGAATAAACATTAAAGTATTTAGGGGTAAAGGAGCATTGTGCCTACTTCTCATTATTAAGGAGGAAAAATGTCTCTCACTGAGATAATGATAAAACTGGGGTGAAATGTGAATTTTCTAGCAATCTGGATGGAGGGTATTTAGAAACTCTTTGTTCTATTTCTGCAGCTTTTCCAAATGTCTGAAGTTATTTCAAAATTAAAATTGTAATTTTAAAAAGGACCTTTAAAATAAGTGAGCTTCTGGGCTGGACTTCTGATTGCAGAGTCAAAGAAACAAAATGCTGGAGTTTTCTGAGCATAGGAAGCTTGTCTCCATGGGCTTGGGGCTTGGTTTCTTAAAGCCAAAATGATCACAGATTACTGATGGCTGAAATATGAATCGTTTTCCAGTAATGTATTTGACTGCTCACTAGAAAATGTCTGCTTCAGGCAACAATGGGTACCAACATGAAAAAATAAATTGCAATACTTTCAGCTTAGATCTTCCAAGTGCAGTAATATGAGTCTATTTTTACATTGTTTTCCTTTCAGATAATGGCTTTGTGTGCTGTATTTTCAATTATCAATACCAAATAGTAAAATATTCCCATGAACATAGAAGGTTGACATTTCATTTCATTCATGAAGATTAATATTTTATATCCAAAGGGAGGAAACATCAACACAGAAAGTGATGTCAGAAATAAACTAAGAATGTAGAAGAACCAGCATTTCAGAGCAAGTGAGAGGGGGAGTCTGGGGAAGGTAGCATTCCATCTGGATTTCAATTCTTAATATAGTAAGTACTTAATGCTTTTTAAGGTTGCCCTCTGTGTTTGATTTAGCACTTTTCCTAAATCCAATTTTTTAAAAAACACAGAAAGGATTTAAACTTCAAAAGTTCCTTCTGATTTGGGGCATAAAGTTTACAGTGGGAAAAGTCCTGGGGTTGGTCAGTGTCCTCAAAATCAGTTTCAATCAGGCATCTGTGAAATATGCAAAATCATCACACTGTTGCCTTCTCTGTCCTCGGTTTCCTCATCTATAAAATGAGGAGCTTAGCATACAGAGTTTCTGAGACCTGTAGATCTCATAATCTCCGACCCAAAACACTGTATGAACTCATCTTGGTGAACAGAGGACATAGCTTTTCCAGAGCAGCATTCTGCTCCTTCTGCAAAGGAGTTGTACCACCTTGAAAACTTTGAACTACCTATCAGATAGAATTCAGAATCCTGAGCTTTATGGACAGAATTGTTTTCATGATCATTCTCTTTTTAATAAAAGAAATTGACATGCAAGCAAATCTTGTGTGAATTTTTTTTAGGCTGGACGTTTGAACTAACTAAAAACAGTTCATTTACCTACTATATACACTTCTAGAGACCTACTTCTAGAATATCTACCTTAAAGAAAATGTTCTTATCCTGGGGACACTTTTAGGGAGTTTAGTGGCTCCATCTTTCCTCTCTTCTTCCAATAACAATTTAAATATAGAGAAGTCATCAGAATGTCAATATTTTGCATCCTACCTCATATATTTTTCTATCCATACTGTTATTTCCTTAATATTTTCTTCAAATTAATCTTTTTAAACCTTAAATATCTACACAGCCTTCTACATACTGGGAGTGTGCATATCACCTTTAGCACAGTATGCCCTGGGGATTAGTAATGATAGTATTTATAGTTTGACAGGTGCTTATATTAGTTCACTTAATTCATACAACAACCCCCCAATTTTTCAGGTGACAAAAATGGAGACTTAAAGAGGTTAAATGATCTGCTATAATTAGAATTAATTAGGGACTAACTGGAACCATATTTTAAATCTAACTCTATATCCCATGCTGCTCTCTCTGCAACAACCAAATTACAGATTCTAAAGCCCTGAAAGTATTTCTCTTCCTGCAAGTATTTCTTGTTTGGGTTACATTCTCTATCCCTAGTACTGGGAAAGTGGAAAGTGTGCAAGTTCAGAATACAGTATCCAGGGTTACATATTGCAAGCTCTTAATATACTGTAAGCTATAATTTGTACTCTAAGTAGTGTGTGTTACATGTGGAATCACATAATTTACATATGATTTTTTCAATATTGGAGATGCAACTCAGAGTTTCATGCATAAAGCCTCAACCTTATATGTGGTTTTTTTTTTTTTTTTTTTTTAAGATAGAAAAGTCTGAAGTCTTGGCTTGATTTTTGCTTCCGAATACTAATGAGCAAAAGAATTGCTCTTTAACTCTTATAAATAGAACTTATTTCCTTGTGAATTTGAGCGAACATGAAATCCCCTCATTCTGGTTAAAGAAATCAGATAAGTTGCTGATTAGAATGAGAGTTTCTCATTTTCATTTATTTATTTTTAGTATTAATCATTTCGGTTGGTGAGTACATCTTGGTTGAAGAGGAGTTAAAAATACAAAGAGATTTTCTTTCCTCCTTTCTTCCTGTGGATCATGACCTTTGCTTTTTTCAACTTCCTCAATTTAGATTCAGTAAATTGTCATAGAGTGCCACAACACCTGCTTCGGTACTTGAGAAATTGACTTTTCCTGCAAATTACCCTGATCAGTGACCTTGTCTTGCCTATGAAAGGGTTTGGAGAAGGACAGAGGCTGTATGTGTGGCCGAGCCCCAGCCCACAGTTGGTATTTAGCTCTTTGAAGTTCACAGTTATCTATTTAATGTACAGACTTTCTGAAACAAATGCCACATTATAATCATCGACCGGAAAACTCAACTATCACCTCTTAAGGAGATAACATTTGATCTTACAAGGGATGGACCCTGCTATAATTAAAGGGATTCCAATTATAATTTTCCTAACCAGAGGATATTTGGTAGATGTTCCTTTTTGTTGTGAGTGACTATCTCAGTTAGGTTGCAGTGTGAGTAATTAGGCAAGGGTGACACGTCCAAGGGTGTGAACATGAAATCAGTTCTCAGGGTCTGTCTTTAAGGGTGCTTCTTTTGGAAGAAAATTTAAGATCTGCTGTGCCTCCTGCCGCACAGGCACTGCAAGAGATCAAAGGCCAGCCCTGGAAGCTCGAGAGGTAAAATTATATTTTTATCCTTTAGCTTTGATTTTGGGCGGCTCACTGCATTTAAAAAAATTAATTGCTCTGTCCAGCCAACAGGTGTGAGCCCTCAAGTGTGGGCCAAGGGCTGGCTGCCGGACAGCAACTTAAAGGCCCCATAACTCACGGCAGCCTTGAGCTCCCCAAATTGGTGCGGGAGAAAGTTCTGAAAGTACTTCAAGGCCAGATGACATGGGAACCTGTGTCCCTGTCAAATATCAAAGAAAAACAGTTAGACTGTAAAAATGTAAACTTATAAAGCGTGCACTTAATTTTGACAAGCTTTTAGTATCAAGTTGCAGAATTTAGGTAATAAGGAGGTTTAGGCTAAAATTGGCTGTAGGAAGCGGAACCTAAAGTCTCATTTAGAATTAAATGGGGAAGCCTGGCTCATTTCTTCCACATCTGTTCTGTTTAATTCAGGCAAGGAGTGTAAGGCACAATTTTGGGGTCCAAACTCACTTTTTACCTGTGATTCTTATACCTCTCAAAACCTAAAAAATATTTTCCTATTTTTCATGAAGCTTCAGGAAGATTAGCCGGTAATCAGCTAAAACATGGTAAAATACTGTTTCAAACATTGTCATGCTGTAAATAAAAGCACAAGGGTTTTTTTTTTTTTCCTTAAACAAC